CGCTGTGCGACTGCCTGCGAGGGTTCTAGTATGAGCCCCAAGGCACAACGGAACGAGCATGTTCCGTAACCTGATCGGTGAGCGCCTACCATCATATATATATATATATATATCAGCCAAGGTTGACTTGATGCGGATATTTGCAACCCTGGTAAGATCTTATTTCGTAGCCGCACCTGTTTGGAGTTACGGGTTATGGTTAGGTATTAGAAATTAGGGATTAGGTTTATGGGTTAGGTTTAGAGGTTATGGTTAGGGGTTAGAGTTAGGGTTAGCGTTGCACCCCCTATTACCACCGGCCCCGTATGACTTGCGGCTGGGGCTTGTCTACTGCAGGTGCGGCTACGCAACCCTGCCTCTTATTTCGTTCACTACTCGTCCGCCTCCGGAACCTTTGAACACATAACTGCCCTCACCAACATTTTCTTTTCTTTTGGACTTCTGATATTACTAACTGCTCGAAGTGTTTGATTCCATCTTTGGATATTTTGTTCACAGTCCCTGCCCTCTTGGCCATTATACCCATTTTGAACGACTGACTGGGGAACTTGTGTTCGCTTTTGCCTAATTCTCTTCAGGCCAATGCATTATGTGGGAACAGGGTCGGGTGAAACATGCGAGTGATAAGAGAATTTGGTTTAAGTTCATCAGTTCACACATGTGAGGATGTAGGAATATGGGAATCGGGTAATAAGGAGCAGTGAGGGTTGGGAAGAGCCCGCCCAGGGGGACTAGGGGGGGGGCGGAGAATGACCTTCGGCCATGGTAAGCGCAGCGCTCATACGAGGTTCTGTGCGCACAAGACTGTCTTGCGCAAACTGAGGGCAGCCGCCTCTGCTGTTGCTTGGGCTATTTCGGTGGGACCCTATGAATTACACGGCTTCTCCTAACCCTCACCGTCTCTTTTTATCCCTCCGCCCCCTCCCCTGTATTCCCACACACCCCGCGTGTGTGAAAGGACGAACTTTAGCCAAATTCCCTTATCACTCGCATGTTCTATCTGACCCTGTTCCCACACAAATATGCCTGCCTGGTGATAATATATATCAAAAAGGAAAGGTTTTCTCACCAACTAGCCTTCTTAACCTTCCCCTAAGAGTGTTTACAACTCTAAAATTTCCCACTTTAGTCAACAGCGCTTGCACATATCCCACCATCTAGCGATCCACAGGAAACTTCGATCCTCTGTTTTCAGTTCTTTTTCACTGCTCTCCTACACCGCGCTCTTATTTTCAAAGCGTCTTCCCTCTGAGCCTAAAACAGTCGTTTTCTTACCTCGACATCGCAGTCTGCCGGAGAGCACGTTTCCCTGGTTGTGGCTCGGGTGATCAGGCCACAGACACCGGACATCATTCGGACGGCCAGTGGTGACATCGTCATCGACTACGGCGCCGACTGTACCGCCACCACGGCCGGCTCCGGCCATCCAGCCCTAGTTCCGCCCGCAGTTGGTCCCGCAGCTCTCGGCCTGGGCACGATAAGTCCGCCCAGCCTCAAGTCCCCCTCGACCCGGCTCTGTCGGGAGCAGGCAAGTTGCGTCTTCCTCTGCCTTCTTGCGTCCACCTCATCAGCTGATGCCCCCTCTCGGTGCGTCGTATCATCTCATTTACGCTAACCCCTCCCCGCCGCTGCCACCGCCTCTAAGAGAGCGATAAGACGTAACAACGACAATGGTAAGGGGCGCTCACCGATCGCTCATACGGAACTCACTCGTTTCGTTGTGCCTTACGGGCTCTCTCTCTCGAGCCCAACCAGCAGCCGCACAGCACCGCATAATATAGGCAGTGTGTTATTACCGACAAAGGCAAGGGAGACTGGAATGGTCATTTCTGGCTTATTAGCCGTCGTCAGCCAGTCATACCCAACCCCGAAGTGTGGCACACCTGGTGCCCGATCCCGCGACCTGTTAGTTAGAAGTCCAACGCCTCTAACCACTGAGCCACGGGCTCGTGGTCCTGTGGGTTGCGTTCGGGAATATACTATGGTAGATGGACATTCACCGATCGTTTCTACGGAACTCACTCGTCTCGTTGTCTTAGGGCTCTCTCGAGTCCAACTATCCGCCCCACAGCGGCGCATAATATAGGTAGAAATGGCCATTCCAGTCTCCCTTGTCTTTTTCACTAATACCGTTCTGCATTCGTCTTTCTCGTTGATAAGTTTCCGGGTTTAGGGGAGTCTACAAACAAGACCCAAACGGCCGTCTTCATTAGGAAGAATATCCACTTATTCGGCGAATGCTTTTAAGAACTATCTTATTTCTAAGCTTTTGATAGACACATAACACAGAGTCCACCTTGATCGGCAGTCCATTAAAAATACCGAAAATTATGAAATATTCACCGATATTTTGAGTACGTCCAGAAACCCAGCGTATTACAACGGCTGCTGCCTATATCATGCGCCGCTGTGGGGCTGCTGTTTTGGCTCGCGGGAGAGTCCGTAGGGCACAACGGGACGAGTGAGTTCCGTAAGAACGATCGGTGAGCGCCCCTCCACCATTGTTCATTCCCGATCGCAACCGACAGGACAACTAGCCCGTTGCTCAGTGATTAGGGGCCTTGGATTTTTAACCACCAGATCGCTGGAGCGAGCCCAGGTGTTCCACAGTTCGGGGCGACGGCTAATAAGCCAGAGATGACCATTCCAGTCTCCCTTGTCTTTGTCGGTAATGACATTCTGCCTAAACGGTGACCTCGCTATTTTGTACTGATTTTCACTGTGGAAGGTCAAATCTCTATATTTCTCTTTCCTTATCTCTGTTTTGCAGCGACAGGTTGTAGTTGATAAGTCGTCGCGAAATTCGCTGTTTCCAGTAAATTCTGCGGTGTATACTTCCAAATATTTACTATTCCCTATCACATCCGCCAAGACAACAGGCCTGTGAATCAGTCTTAGAACATTGAACTACTTAACGCTCAAAGAACCCAAGTCCGAATCCCAGTCCATGCAAACCTGACTGACAACAGCTCATAATCCGGAAACTACCATCCCAGTCTCCCTCTCTTTGTAGGCAATCTCATTCTGCATATAATATTATCCCGCAGCACGACGCCCCTTGAGTACTCTAGATTGGGCGAGGTTTGGTCCTTCAGCCCCACTAGATTGATACCCTATTGCTAGCTTTCTCACGATTTTTAGTAAGCACTACTACTCCAACTTTGCATATGTCACGTGTTTGCGCCTTCCTTACTCTTTTAGTGCAGCGAGTGACTGCGCCTCGGCGTGGGGAGACCTCATACGTCATCCTCGTTTTTATCCCCGTTTTAGGAAGTGTTAACTAAGAGTTCCTACATAGTGAGCACTTTCTCAGCGATCCTGTAGTTTCAAAAATCAGTATGGATTAATTTTCTCGCAAAGACTCCTGTTTTAATTTTTTGTGAGTTTTTGTAACTGTGCGTACTTCTGTTATCATAAGTATGCTCAGTTACTTCCTCTCTAAGATTATCTTCATATCGATAGCCGTCCTATACCCCCCCCCCCAGAACATTGTTTTAAGTGTCTGAAAAAAATCCCTGTTCTATGAATGAGTAATATGTGATCGCTGGGACGCCCTGAGCTTTCACTTTCGTACAGGAGTCGTCCTCTGAATCTGTGCATGAACAGCGGCACACGAGCTGTTTTGTAGTCCGACAGCCGGTGGGGAAGGAGCGTTGCCATCAGATCCCCAGGTCTTCAGGTGCTCCTGTCCCGGACTTATCGCCTGCCCGCACCGTTATTTGTGTGCCCGCGAAATCGAATGCCTGGTTTCCCTTCAGGTTGTGGATCGCGACCTGGACCGGCGGATAGCCTCTCCGAAAGGCCGTTTGTGCTCGTGTGTTCGTGGCGTCTGGTGTGTGTAATGAAAGGGGCAACCGAAACGTGCAATCTGATGAGTTCCCCGAATCGCAGGATGAGAATACCACTTCTGTTCCGATAATTACATATTCGTCTCCTTTGCAACGATAACCTGAGCCGCCCCTGTTTGCCGCAATTATTAAAATCCGTTCTTACGAAAACAAATAATTCCCCGGGACTTTAAAAAAATCCATTTACAGTCAAGCGAAATTCGACGCTTTCTAAAGCACTGATTTAAAAGAAGTGTATATTTCTGCCGAAAAACGACGAATACTTTAACCTTGTGTATGGTCCTCCTAGGAAGGGCAGTCTGCTTTGCATGAAAATTGAAAACCTGCGGAAGAAGCCACATTTGATACAATCTGCGGCGAGGTTTGCTTCTGCAGTACCACATGATTGATACCATTCGGCTAGCCTACTAAAACAATTTAAGTAGATTCGGGTAAGCTGACTTTATGAATATCGGTGCGTTTGCACCTCCTACACCATTTTAGTCCGGCGGGAAACTGTGCCACGCGCTTCTCTGAGCATGCTTCGAACCCTGCCTGCGCCCTCTACTGTTTTAGTCCGGCGAATGGCTAAGAGTAGGCTTGCTAGAGGCTTTGTTCGGACGGACTGGAACTCCGTTGGGTCCACTATAGTGGCCATGCACGGCGAATTAACATGCGGTCCCCTCCGTGACTGTCCAGTTCTGATTGCGCCCCCCTTGTCCTCCTAATCCAACGATTGGCTGTCCCGTGGAGTGTGTACAAGTTACTTTCGGTTTACACGCGGATCCCCGCGCGTGCTTTGAGCTCTGCTTGCGATCTCTTTCCCTTCCTAATGTAACGAATGCCTAAGTTAGGTATGGTTGCCAAAAATGTTTTAGTAACCTAACCATATGGTATCAGTCAGGTGGGGCTGCAGAACTAAATCCCACTCCAGATTGACCCCCAAGACGCAGCCGAACGAGGACGCCCAACTCCCTGGTTGGTGAACACCCTTTCCGGCAACATGCCTACCAAAACAACTCCCCTAAACCGACGACACCTCGCTGCAAACTCACGTCTGGGAACAAGGCTCATGCTAGGACGGCCACTCGATTCATCTAGTGAGCGAGGGGCCTGAGCTGTTAACTCGAAGCCTACCAACCAAAGATTCCGGGTTCGAAGGTCGTGTTACCCAAATCTAGGGGACTAAGTTCGACCGGCAAACACGGGGGTGTAAACCAGAAGTGGCCACTCCAATGTCCCTTGGCTTCGCTGCTACCCCATGATTCCTTGTCGCTATGCGACTGCCTGCGAGGACTCTGTGTTTAGCACCATGGCGCAGCGGGAGGAGTGCGTCCAGTCACCTAATCGGTGAAGGTACGTAAATGGGCTATGTGCTTACTAGAATAACCGGGGCCAATTGGAAATCTGACTTTCCGTCGGCGTAAATCACGTTAAGAAAAACGCTAGCCTTTCTCCTTCTCCTTCTTCTTCTTCTTCTTCTTCTTCTTTATTTCTTTCTTTATTTCATCTTTTTTTCTTCCTCTTCTTTTCTTCTTCCTCTTCTTCTTCTTCCCCTTTTTTCTTCTTCTTTTGCACCTTTTCCACCTTATTTCTTCTTATTCTTCTTCGTTCCCCCTTTCCTCTTCTTCTTCTCCATCTTCTTTCATCTTCCTCCTCCTCTTCTTCCTTCTTCTTCTTCTTCTTCTTCTTCTTCTTCTCCTTCTATTTCTTCCGCCTTCTGCCTTCTTCTTCTTCTTCTTCTTCTTCTTCTTCTTCTTCTTATAATCTACTAATCTGTTCAGTTTTATGCCCCGAAACAGACTATCTTTGTTTCTATACAACCGTAAGCAAATAT